CAGTGAAAAGGTGAATTCAAACAGGGAAACAAACAGCTTAGCCAGGCTGAATCGAAACCCAGTGTGGTAGCATGAGCTGGCTAGAGGCCATGGCCCATGAGCCCCGGCTAAAAGCAGGCAGGGCGGGGGGAAACCTGTCTCCTTTAGGGTGAGGATAGTAAGGACCAGAGTGTTCGGGAATGAGAGCTAGACTCTGGTCCAGTCTTTGAAGCCGGGCTTATATGAGGTTTCCGCCTCGGTCCCCTGTACAGATGGGGCTCTGCAGGAAGTTGTGGGCCACGGAGGGTAGGAAACAAGACTGGGACGCGCCCGGCCGCTGCTGCTTCTCACAGGGCCTGCACGACCTCTAACGTGGCCACGCAGCAGGAGCCTGGAAACGCCATGCCAAGCCTGGCTGTGGACCGAGGGGCGGCAGCCACAGAACCCGGGCTGGGAGGGGAGCGCCAGCAGCGTAAATCCCTCTAGCCAGGATGTGCCCGCAACCCAATATGGGAAGATATCCAGTGCTGAGGCATCCTTGCAGAGCCACTAGGCTGGCAAGAATGGTGAAAGTAAGTGCTTAAGGTGGTTCAGAAGATGTATGAAAACATCCATATGCAAACAAGAAATCATAACGCAAACCAGACCGCAGTGAAGCAAGAGCAGGCGGGTATAGCGAAAACCCGTCTCAGATCGGAGAACTGGAAAAGGTACTAGCCAGAACAACAGCCTCTGTGCTGGACACAGTGACAGACGACATTAGTCAGCTGACAGCTGTTCAGCACATCGGCCCAGGTGTGCAGCACAGCAGGAGGGACAAGGTGATGAACATTCAGGGCCTGAGCGCAGGCAAGCCTGAAGCCAGCTGCACCCTTTCGAGTGGTCACGAGCCCCCCACAGACGCAAGGAGTCACGCCACCCAGCAGGCAAGGGCGAGCAGAAACTGTTGCCAGAGGACCGTGAGGGGCCTAGCGCCCTAAGTGGGGCGGATGAATCCTAGAAGAGAGGTGTGCCCTGCAGACCTCACTTAGGACGCAGCAACTTTCTTTTCAGGAGCCCTGGCGGCGCAGCGGTTAAGAGCTCGGCTGCTAACCCAGAGGTCGGCGGCTTGAATCCACCAGCTGCTTCTCGGGAGAAAGACGGGGCGTTCTGCTTCAGTAAAGATTACAGCCTTGGAAACCGTGTAGGGCAGTTCTTCTCTGTCCTACAGCGTCACTGCGGGTTGGAATTGACTAGGTGGCAACAAGTTTGCGTGTTGGTTTTTACTTTATCTTTATCCTGTTTATTTTAGGCACGTGCTGTAGCACAGCCACATTCTTTTTTTGTTGTTTATTTTTTTTCACAACCACATTCTTGCAGGAGAAATACTCGTTGAGAAGTGAAGTAAGTAATGTAAAATGCTCCCAAGAATCCTGCAGTATTTCTGTAAGGGGTGTGCCTCCCCACCACCACTTCCCATTTTCTCTTCCTAAAAAAACAGAATCCAAGAAAAAAAGAAACCGTTTTAAGTTTCCTGCTGCCTGTCACTGGCTGTAACAGTGCCGCTGGCACTTGTTGTCCGTGTGAATAAGTGTTCCAGCTTGCGCTGTGCTCACATAGGCGTCTGGGGGCCAGCCTTGTAAAATCGGGCCCTGACGAGTGGCCTCATTTCTGC